CTCTCTAATATCAGAGATGATCGCAATATCATTTAAATATGCACAGGCAAAGTCCTAAAGAGCCATTCGCTGAAAAGTAGCTGGGGCATTCTTCATCCTGAATGGCATAACCGTAAGCTGGTAACCCCCGAACGGGGTGATGAATGCCGACTTAGGAATGGCCTCCGGCTCGAGTAGGATCTGCAAATATCCCTTGCACAGTTCTATGGTAGTCAAGTAATTCCTCCTGACCATGCGGTCTAATAGTTCGTCTGTCCAGGGCATAGGATAGGCGTCGGTGACTGTTCTGTCTTTAAGTTTGCGGTACTCTATACAGAAGCAGGTCATACAGTCCAGCTTAGGTACCAGCACTACCGGGGAAGCCCACAATTCTGGGAAGGTTCTATAACACCTAGCTGTAATATTTCCTGAATCTCCTTTAACATGTTCTCCCTCTTGGGATTGGGTATGGGTGCTGCCATAGTGGGGCTTGTCCCTGGGTCTCTAACCTGGTGGACGGCTATGGATGTGTACCCAAGGAGGACAGAAAACATCTTGCTGTATCCCTGGACCAGTTGGGAGGCTTTGTTCTTTTCTATTGGGCTGAGATCTTCCCCTAGGCTGCCCTGCTCCACACTCCCTGCAGACGGCGCGAGCAAGTCGGGTAGGGGGAGATTCTCGCTATCCTTGAGAGAGGAGGTGCATAAGGCAACTACTTCTCTGTCCTTTCGAAATAGGGTTTCACATGAAAGGACCGTCATATCCTTTCATCTGAACATTGTGCTACGTTGTAGTTAGTAACGCTGATGCACTCTACTAACTGAAAGGGCCCATGCAACGTGTCATTTTTAGTGGGTCTGAGAGCTAACACTTTTTGCTGCACTTCTAAGATCCTGTCCCTCACCCCTCAGTTGTACCACCGTTTATGTTGCTGTTAGGCCCAAACAGAGTCTCTCAGGGTCTGCAGATGGTCTCAAAATTCCAGAACGTAAGGGACAATCGGAGTACCCCCTTCCCCCATGTCACCCTCCCAGTGTTCCCTTACAAGTTCCAGGGGTTCCCGTACTTCTCCCATATATGAGTTTGAAGGGGAAGAACCCTGTATACACTTGGGGAACCTCTCGGTAGGCAAACAGGAGGTGGGGTAAAAATCTTTCCCAGTTGTGGCAGGAGGCTGCAAACCTTTTTAGCATCTACTTCAGAGTGCCGTTTAAACGTTGGCAGAGGCTATTCATCTGGGGATTGTATGGGAACTAAGGATAGGCTTGACCGCACAGCTTTGCCAAAGTTGCTGGGTGACTGTTGAGGTGAATTGGGTCCCTTGGTCAGACACAATTTCTCTGGGAAAACCTACTCGAGTGAATATTGTGACGAGCACCTCTGCTATGGTTTCAGCGTCTATATTGGGAAAAGCCACTGCTTCGGGGTACCATTTGTCATAGTCTACCACTGTGAGTATATATCTCTTTCCCCAAGGTGCTGGGTCTACTTAGTAGTCCTACTAGGTCTATCGTTTCTCTGTGAGATGGCTCTTCAATTATCGTCAATGGGTGCAACTTGACCCTCGGATGGTCACCCCTTTTCCCTATTCGCTTGTAGATATCACAGCTCCTGCAGTAATCCTGCAGATCCTGGGTGATTTCTGGCCAGAAGAACGTCTGGGTCAATCGGTCTTTTGTTTTTCGAATACCCAGGTGTCCTGCTAATGGCTTGAGTAGCCCCACCCGGTATTTATGGGGAACAATTAACTGCCTTTTACTTGTGCTGCCTCGCTCCTGGTTCCCTCTGTTACCCTGTATAATAGCCCCTTGTCCCTTGGAGGGAATCTGCCTGTCTCCTATACCCACGTAGAGTGGGGTCTTCCTTCTGCTCTCTCTTAAAACCTTGGGGGGTGCCCCAGTAGGGAGCAGGGTATCTACTAGGGTCAGTTCAGAAGGTCCTACCTCAGGGTCCTTGGAGTGCATCGGCTCCAACCTCTGGGCTTGCATTCGGGTGGTCACAGGTAGTGTTTCTTCGGTGTTTGGTGCTGTGAACTGAGAGGTTAGGCAGCCAAGTAATTACCAAAAAGTACTTCTGCTGGTAGGTCTTGCATGATCCCGACCTCTAGGTACTTGGCCCCCGAAACCCCAGTTGAGATTGACTCAGGCAGTCGGGAGCTTGTGGATGGCGCATTCAGCCACCCTAACGGCAACTGTCTGGCCGGTGCAGAGGGTTACTCTTATGCAGCTGTAGTAGAGTCAAGGTTATGCCGGTGTCTCTTAGCCCGGGTTTCTTGTCCGTCTATTTCCCGTCACTGCCTGTGGTGTTCCTGGTTGTCCGTTGAAAATGGCACCTACAGCAAGCAAATGTCCATCTAAATTAGCTCAATAATACAAGCTGTATGTAATGTGTGTGTGTGTGTGTGTGTGTGTGTGTGGTAGCTGTATGTTATTTGTGTATGGGCAGGATTTGCTGGCTGAATGTGATGTGTGGTATTTACTGACTGTATGTGATGTGTGGTGTGTGCTGGCTTTATGTTAATGGGGGGATGAGCTTGGCTGTATGTAGTGTGTGTGTGTGTGTGTGTGTTGTGTTGTGTTTAGTGGTTGTATTTTCAGGCAGATGCGGAACTTTGTAATCGTTTCCTCGCAGTTCAGGACTAAGCAAGTCAGAGTGCACTCTGGGAACAGGCAGGCGGTGCACTTTGACTCTCTAGAGAGCGACGGACCACTACTAATCCATTACTGAGGTTTTCCACTGGAGGGTGCAGCTCTTAAGACTCAGTCTGCCACTGAGAATTACTGGGCATGTGAGAAATTATTTGTGGGTAGTTTGTACAGTGAAATCTGATTTTGAAGTACTAATATTAAAATATGGAACCACATGACTGATGCTTCAGATATTGTGTATGTGTATGACTATAATGCTTGCAAACATTTGATGCTATAAAAAATTATGCCATTCCATCTCTAAATATATTCTTTGTCCTCTCTCAATTCTCGCACTTTCATGCACCAGCATTGTGAACCCACTCGTCCCAGCAGCAGTGGCAGCCCCCTATCTTTAATCTATAACGTACACTGTAATAGAAAGCCTGAAAAAACTCCATGATGTTTGTGATTAAATATTGGCCTATCAAGCACAACATTGTTTGATGAAGTTTTTATGACTTTGGCAGCATTACCAGCTGAAAAGTGCTCCATGAGTTTTGGATTGTGATTGCATTAATATCACTCATTATACTGAACACCATTCACAAAATGTTATCAATAGACCAGGGGTTCCCAACCTGTGGAATGTGTACCGCCAGGGGTACAATATCCCTCCTCTGCAAGCTTAACTCTGCTCATTACAAGCTTAAACCTGCCTTTTCCTGCATAACCCCGCCCTATATACCATAACCCCACCTCTACCCTTTGGCTTTGCCTGCCTCCTACCTCCCAACAGCCCCAGCCAGCAGAAGCCATCATAAGGTAGGAAAACTGGAGGATGGCTACATTTTTCACCTGTATGTGTGTTTTGGGTGTCTGTATGTATGTAGTGTTGGTATCTGTGTGTCTGTGCAAACTGTTTGTGTGTCAGTGTTTGCATCTGTGTATCTGCATGTGTGGCAGTGTGTTTTTCTATGTGTCTGTATCAGTATGTGTGTCAGTGTTTGCATCTGTGTGTCTGTGCATCTCATTATGTGCCATTGTGTGTATCTATGTGTCTGTATGAGAAATGTGTCAGTGTTTCCATCTGTGTCAGTGTATCTGTATGTCTGTAAGTGTTTATATCTGTGTATCTGCACGTGTATTAGTGTGCCTGTGCAGCTGTATGTGTGTCAGTGTGTGTAGATGTATGTGTCAGTATGTGTATCTGTGTGCCTGTATCAGTATGTGTGTCAGTATTTGTATCTGTGTGTGTGTGTGTCTCAGTGTGTCTATGCAACTGTATGTATGTCAGTGTTTCCATCTGTGTATCTGCATGCGTGTCAGTGTGTGTGTGTATCAGTGTGTCTGTGCAACTGTATGTGTGTCAGTGTTTCCATCTATGTGTCTGCATGTGTGTCAGTGTTTGTATCTGTGTGTCTGTGCACCTGTATGTGTATCCATGTGTCTGTCCATCTGCATGTGTGTCAGTGGTTGTATCTGTGTATTTATGTATCTGCATGTATGTCAGTGTGTGTATCTGTATGTCTGTATATATGTCTGTATGCGAGTGTGTCATTGTTTGGATCTGTGTGTCTGTACATGTGTCAGTGTGTATGTCTGTGTAACTGCATGTGTGTCTATCTACATTGTGAGAAGCATGGGGAGCTGGGGCAAAGGAAGAGTAGGGGAGTCTGAGACAGAGGTAGAGCAGGTGAGCCTGGGGCAGAGGAAAATCAGTAAGAGCCTGGGTAGAAGAGTAGCAGGGGATACTGGAACAGAGGAGAAGGAGGAGTCTATGTGCAGAGGAGAAGCAAGGATAGCCTGTTGCAGAGGAGAAGCAGGGGGATCCTGGGGCAGATGAGAAGCAGGAGAAGCCTGGGGCAGAGGAGAAACAGGAAGAGCCTGGGGTAGAGGAAGATTAGGAAGAGCCTAGGGAATAGCAGGGAGAGCAGAGGAGTCTGGAGCAGAGGAGAAGCAGGAGGACCTTGGATAGAGGAGGAACAGGGAATCCTGGGGCAAAAGAGCAGCAGGTGAGCCTGGATCAGAGGAGAAGCAGGGAGAGTCTGGGTCAGATGAAGAGCAGGGACAGCCTGGGGCAAAGGAGAAACAGGGGGAGCCTGGGGTAATGGAGAAGCAGGGAGAGCAGGGGAGCATGTGGCAGACGAAGAACAGGGTGAGCCTGGGGCAGAGGAAGAGCAGGGAGAGCCTATAGAGTCTGCGGCAGAGGAAGACCAGGGGAGTCTGTGAAAGAGGAGAAGCAGGGAGAGTAGGGAAGAGTGGGTCAGAAGAAAAGCAGGGAGAGTCTGCGGCAGAGGAAAAGCAGGGGGACCTGGTACAGAGGAGGAGCAGGAGAGCCTGGGACAAAAGAAGATCAGGAGAGCCTGTGGCAGAGGAGAAGCAGGGGAGCCTGTAAAACAGCATCTATGTAGTGGAATGGATCCCCTAATACACTTTTATTCCTCGTTGTTCGGCTGTCCGTACATCCCCCATTCATTTACAGAACCAAATCCGTATGGTCCCCTTGTTCACACCTTCTACGCACCTTCTAATCACTGACCAGCCCTGGCTGTTAACCACAAATTTATCATTAGCGCAAGTGTTTTCCCTGTGTGGGTGCTTTTAGTATAACCGAACACACGTGCTCCAAGTATTGGCGGCCATTTTGTCTCCCGAACGCAGGCAGTGCTACATGGTCGTCTGTGGCATGGAACTATATCTCGGATACACGACCCCGTGAACACCCGGGAAACTTGTACCACTGTCCAGCCAACTTCCTGATCAGTTAGAGAACGTCGTTCGGAAGGCATGAACTACCAAACAGGGGGAACATTCGCTTCCTAACAGCCAGGGGGCACATTTGTTGGTGTTCGTGTAAGAACCCCTGAAAGATTACCAATCCTTGCCTTGTTTTCTATGGAACTGTTTTGGGGCATCATCTCGTGGCCGGCCGGTCATAACTTCATTCGAATGGCGTTCCCGAACCACCAAAGGGATCTGAGCCCTATTTCAACAAAGTGGGTGCTCAAACCCAAGCTATTTGGTGCTATGGCCTTCGTGGGGTTCCTATGTCATTGAAATTTATTTTTGGGGTAAATTGTAATATTGTGTGTGTTTCTTGTATCTGAGAGATAATTGAGTTATAATTTTTCCACTCAATAATCTCTCAGAAACAGAGAGATGAAAGTGCTTGAATTTTTGATGTGGAGACCCCATGCTAGGGGTCAGTACATAAAAGCCATGTGTGGCCAAAATAAAATCAGTTGACTCCAAGAACTATGTGTTGTTGCTGGGGGAAAGTGTCTGGGATTATTGCAGTGCTTCTTTCAGCTTCGAGGAAGGAATAGCGGAGATACCCATGCATGGTATCGGAGCTCTGCTACAATCTACATTTTAAACAACAACTATATTAATAGCAAACAATTTGCTAATATGAGGTGTACAATTTATGGAAATGGGCTTCCAACTGGTAATCAAGTGAAAAAAAAGTTAGGAACCACTGCAATGGACTAAAAAGCTGAATGTGAACAATCCCCTTGTATTTGTGCATACACTGATCAGCCACAACAATAAAACCACCTGCCTAATATTGTGTAGGTCCCCCTGCCAAAACAGCTCTGATGCATTGAGGCATGGACTGCACAAGACCTTGGAATGTGTACTGTGGTATTTAGCACCAAGACATTAGCAGCAGATCCTTTAAGTACTACAGGCTGGGAAGGGGGGCCTCTATGGATAGGATTTGATGTTCAGACCAGGCAACCTTCTTCTATTGCTCCTGCTCTTGTCCCCATTAAAGACACTTGTGGCGGTGGACAGGGGTCATCATGGACACTCTAGGAACACCCCACATGACTTGCCGTTTTGGAGATGCTCTGACCCAGTCCTCTAGACATCCCTATTTGACCCTTGTCAAAGTCACTAAGATCTTTATGTTTTTTTTTAAATCATTTTTGCTGCTACCAACACATGAAATTCAAGAACTGTTTGTTTGGTGCCTAATATATCCCACACTTGACAGGTACCGTTGAAACGATATAATTAATGTTATTCACTTTACATGTCAGTGGTTTTAATGTTATGGCTGATCAGTGTACATATTTATGTGTAATAGATTAAATAGAAGAGTTAAGGGTGCAGGGTCTCCAGGCAAGCTAGAACCTAGAAGGTTGGTTGAAATTTACTACACCTTTGTACTACTTCATCTTTTCGAGGGATATATACTTAAAACATGAATGTTTTTCTACCTAATGATATTTATTGACCAGCTGAGTGTTCAGGAGGTTTGTTCTTGACACAGCTTTTATCGAACTATAACATTCTCTGCTTTGTCAGTTAAGTAATCATTATCAAGGTTTAGCATCGGTTTGCAGAATAGCTATTGTCATGGGCTGTGGAGATAAGCAATACACTCAGTCACACTGAGAAGAAAGTTTTAAGAAATGCAAATGTCGTAGAGTATATGTGGAACAAAAAGGTACACTTCATAAAACATGATTTGTATAGCATGTGCATAATCCATTAATGTTAACTGAATATTTAACTCCAGTCTATCAAATGTATTCAAGGACAAAACTACAATAAATATGTCTATCTAGCACCACTATGGATTTAGCTAGACATATATACAGAATTTGGATGTGATTTTTTTCAAAAATCTAAATAAAGTATTCTTATTAATTGTTAGTAAATGGACAGTCTAAGCACCAAAACCACTACAGTTTGTTGAAGACATTATGGTGCTATGAGGTTATGGGTGCCATTACACTGTTTTCAAAAGATATTACAAAAAAAACACCTTTGGATTCACCAGCATTATACCCCCTCTGCTGGAGACCTTCCTAATTACATATGAAAAGCATATTAGGCTGCAATCGTACCTGGTGCGTTGAACAACCTTTGTCTCCAACTTTGGCAACTTGCTAGATCTCCTAGACTGTTTTCCTTCAATATATGAACTGTAATCACATATGCATACATTAAACCCAACAAATGTAGGTGAACATAGACACACTGAAGCACGTGCATTAAAATAGTACCACTCAAAAACAGACAGGTATGTACATAAGAAATCAAGTAGTGACATAAACACATTCATACATGCAAATAAAAACATAGAAATATACACATACATCAATACAGAGACATGTAGGCATACACCAGCAAAAAGACACACACGTTTGAAAAGAGCACTATACATAGGAACACTCAAACAAATGAACATGCATGCCTATTTAGAGAAACATATGGGCATACATAAGCTTATGCTTACATACTAAGATACACAAAAACACTCAAACAGATTTGCCAATGGGCAGAAACATGCATGCAGACACACTCATGCACAGGCAGAATCGCCAACATACAGGTACATGCATACAGACATACCATGGCATAGATACATATTGTGATGGAAGACTGCCACTATGTGTGGGTCCCCAGATTCCTTTTGTGTTTTGGTCAGCCTGTGCCCATTATTGGTGCAGGGTATGTTGAATGTATTGCTTGTACGTGCCTCTTCCCCTCCCCCTTTTTCCTGTCCTATTGTTTCCCCAGCACTGCGTTGTCCCAGTGACACTGTCAGACCAGTTTAAACTAGCTGCCCTGTGCCTCCTCAATCTCCCATCAGCCCTTGCTATTGTCTGACCTTGCCCTTCCTTAAACTGTATGGCTCTATGCACCCTATTGTATGTAAATGAGACTGTTGGGGGCATAAATATGTGTGCTGTGTTCATTAAAATTAGTTGCCGTTTTAACCTTCACCAAGTGACGTCTGGTGTTTGGGGAAGGGATATAATCTGCTGATGGATAGTGTGTCCAGTGCTATAGTCACAGTAGTCTGGTCCAGGGTGGAAAAGGCCCTCAGTTATCCCAGTCAAGCCTCGGCAACTGGGTCTGAAGTGCTCCAGGGTCCCTGATAGCTACAAGGAAGCAGACTTGGCAGAGGTACTCGGTCGGAATACTGGAACTACATCAAACATATACAATCTCATACTATGACAAATACATACACACACATGCACAGAGAGAAACAATACACACAAACAGATGTATACATTCAAACTCATGCACAAACACATGCAGACAAAGACAGTAAAGTAGACACAAGTCCCTATCAAGAGAGTGTTTCTTTCTCTATCTTTTTCTTCCTATCTGTCTCAACATCTCCCACTCTTGTATCTCTCCCCAACTCCCCCAACCTTTGCATCTTTCTCCTAAGATGTCCAGCATTTTGCTTCTCATCCACCACCCAGGCCATGATTCCCTGTATCCCCATCTCCTCCATCCTACTTGAAAGGTATTGTTCTTTTTATATACTTCTACAAAGGAAATAAATATAAAACTCAGGCCCTCCCAATTGGCCATACCAGTGAAGACCTACATTCTTTGCAGCAAACATTCTCTTTCAATTGACATGAGAAAACATAGCTGTTTATGCATTCATCTCACTAAATCAAGAAGTAACATAGTAACTTAGGACTATACCAAACTTTTGCTTGAAACTTAACATTTTCTACATTCCAAGTCTTCATGGTCTAGGTTAGAGGTTTCATTGTTGGGCAACTCTCTTAATATATGGTTCTACCTTTTATCCTGTACCTGTTCTGTAGCCTGCCTATCGGTTTGCTTTCTGCTCTCCTTACAAATGTTCTAATGCTAAATGCCCATATCTGGTAGTGTAAACTTCCTATGGTATTGTGTAAAGCATTTTGATGGATTATTCAAATCTATGAAGATGGGCAGGTTAGGGGTCCCTGATATGTCCACTTATTATAAGGCATATATTTTAACACAAACTATTTTACTACTTATTGATAAGCACCCAATGTGGCCTAGACTTGATGACTCTGGTATCTGTACTCCCTCCTTCAATACCATCAAATGTTAGTGACTTCAGCCTTTAATCTCAGTATGTGGCATAGCCAACCTCTTAAACTAATTAAAGCATACCAATACTGGCACTGGCTTCTTTTATCACATCTCTGATTATACACTCCAGACCTCTCTCTAGGGGATTAGAACTGGCATTGTAAGGTATTACATTTTCAACTAATTTTGCCTCACTCTATTAAGCCCTTTGCCACTTTGCAGGCAAAGTTTCTATCATAATTAAAGAGGTAGTAACATATGTTAGATTGAAGAGTATACTGCATACATATCTAATTTCTAAATTTGACCATACAAAAGCTATAGTAAAAACAGTTTGAACTATCTTTTGGAAACCCAAAGACAACTATAGGTATTTGACTCCCCAGAGTTTGCCAATCTCTGTTATGCCAAAAAGAAAGATTTGTGGAATGCACAAATCCTGGGGTATGGTTTGGAAGCTGAGCCAAATGGCAGCGAAGGAGAGAAGCTTTGCTCTATGCACCCATACCCACTGGGTCGGCATGGGCACCCAAATGCCATAAAAGGGAGGCATGCTATGTCAACACTGAACAGCAACAAGCAAGTATGTTAGTATGATGGCTCTCCAGCATCCTGTTCTTTGGGGTGGGGTATATTTCTGTTTTTTTTCCTGCCCAACACAAGCATACACTTCATTTGCACTTGTCTCTGGAGTCCTCAATAGTGGGATACCAGAGAACAAAAGTGGATCAGATTTGTTAAAGTGTGTTGTGCATGTGTAGAGATGTTCCCTGTGGTCTTGTATTGCTGCCTGTGTGATTGCGCGTGTGTAGAAGAGACTGTGTTGTAGTGTGTGTGTAAAGGGGTCTGTTTGTAGTATACTATGTATGGCTAGGGGTGGTAGTCTGCGTGTGTGTTTCTAGCTGTAATATATGTATGACTGCATGTTTACATGACCTGTAAAGTGTGTGAGCCTAGGGGGTGTTGTGTGTGCATGTAAGGGCTATAATGTGTATGTATCTAGTAGTTGCAGGGGATTGCATTGTTTGTGCATCAAGGAGCTTTAGTGTATGTATGTGTAAAGGGGTTGTAGTGCACATGTGTATGGTTGCAGTAATGTGTGAAGAGGGGGTTTAGTGTGCATGTTTGTGCATGTGCATATTGGGGATATAGTGAGTGTAAATATGGTGACGTGTGTGTGTGTGTGTAGGGGTATAGTTTGTGCATATGGGGTGTAGATTGTGTATAGGGTTATAGTGTATTTGTATAGGGGTAGAGTGTGTGTGTTTATAGGTGGTATGGAGTATGTGTAGTGTGTTTGGATGTGTAGGTAAGTGCAGAGGATGTAGTGTATATATAGTATAGCGAGTGTATTGTGTTTAAGTGCAGGGGGTGTAGTGTGCATATAA